GAAGAGAAGAAAAGGTCTGACACAAACTCCACGGGTGGAAGAAGAACCGATTTCCAGTTCTTGTTCAGATATGTTCATCTTCAGGATGGGAGAAAAGTATTTGAAGCCTCACTTCCTGATGAGGTTCCAAGTGATCTCTTCTGGCACCCATTCTCTGTTTTCTCAACAGCTCTGGCTAGGACACCAGTCATTTGTCAGAGAAAGAGAATGAAAAAAACTCTACCCATTTTGCCTGTCCCCAGGAATTCCCTCGCAGTACCAAAGGAGAGTTGAAGAGCTTCCCCAGGATTCAGGGCCAGATAAAGACATGCTGAGGCCCTAAGCTGTGTCAAGTTTAAGAGGCACCATAGCACTTTCAAAAATGTGTATTATTGTAACAGAAAGAAAAATTAAAATAGAAAGAATAAAGTGTTATATTTGCATACATACTGGTACACAGGTAAGGATGCAACTAAAAACTAGGTTATTTTAAAATTTAGCAGCCCCTCATTATTTGAAGCCCTAAAATGTAATGTACTTAGTTTGTACATAAACCAGCACTGCTATCATCACATTGTATTCTCCATGTCCACCGTGCTGCCACTCATGCTCCATAACCAGGCTGCTATTTTAAGTCTCACAGTTTGATCAGAGCTAGTGCAATTTGATCTATGCAAGCTGGGAAGCATATACTACAACTCCAGCTATAGTAGTATCCTTAATCAAATGTACAGACACACCTCATAAAAAATTACATATTCTTAAAACATGGTTTGTAACAGCATTGTTAATTTGCCTTACTGAATCTAGTTTAATAAATTCAGTCTCCAAAGAATACATAAAGTCAGTCAGTCTCTTCTGCTTCCTTCATTCCATTACACTCTGGCATATGTCACAGCACAAACTTTGACCTTTTTGCTGTGACACAGAGTTTATTGGTCTTTTATTTAAAGACAGAGTAACCAATTATTGAAATAAAGAATCTATTATGCTGTAACTAGATGGGAAGAAAGCTGTAGAATAGTATAGCAGGGAAAAATAAAATATTCATTTTTCTGGGGATGGGCCAGCATTTTTTTTATGTGCAACGTTGGAGACATATTAGAAAATTTCCATTTTATCACATCATGTCAGAACTTGTTTCTGTTAAGCTAATCAAAAAGTGTAATCAGGCCAATGAGTGTCATGTTATATAAGTGAAAAATGAATATTAATCCAATCTAATAGAAAGTTGGCTTATAAGGTTTTTTATTAGAAATATGTGCCTCTGGAGTTATCTGTGGATGTAAACTCCTTGTGAGTCAACTAGAAATTACCATAAATGACACTGTAAATTATGATGTCCTGTTCCTTTAAGTGTTAGATCACTCCCTGGTTCAAATCCTCACTTTTGTGTTGTTTTCAGTTTTGCAGCCAGAACAATAAAGTGGGCACAAAAGACATCTGTGTTCCTATGAGCTCCTTCTGTGTCTATCTCCTTCCCCACAGGGTCCAAACAGAACATCAGTGACTGATGATCAAGCTATCAAACATCCACACTTTATCCTATATCAAGGGCTTGATTTTTTAAAGAGAAAGGCATGGATTATGTGCTTATCTTTTCAATATACATTTAAGCTCTGATCCAAAGCCTGAAGCTAGCATAAAATTAATGGAAAGACTCCAATTGCCTTCAATGAGCTTTGGATCAGACCCATAGCTTGCTGATATTTAGTTAGATGGTTAATTGCAAGCAGTCATCTGCATGTATAAAAACTAGGTTTGCTTGCTCAATTGCAATAAATATGTTTGTAAATATAGGCAGGCAAGTGAACCTCCAACTGTTACAATACAAGCACTTACTACGTGAATGCAAATCAAATACATTATCTGAAAGCTATTTAATGTCAACTGTAATGTACTGTACAGGGTAAAATTGTGTTATCCCATCACTTCAGCTCAGTCTGTCAAATTATAGTGAGGAATGGCATGAAGGAGCCAAATACAAGAGAGATGGTTACAACATTAAAATATTCACTGTTAACACTAAAACCTATACTATAATATTTCACATATTGTAGTACAAACCCATTATATCAAAGAGTTTGTGAGTGAAATTTTAGTATATCCATCCACAGCCTCACTGTGCCTAGACATATTAGCTTATATGCTCCTTTCTTTCACCTTGGTAATATTTAAATCAGCATCTTTCAGAACTATTACACACAACTTGTATTTCTATTGAAAGTAATAATGTATAGTGTATTAATATAGACTTTGGCAATATTAAGGTTGCCAATTTAAGCCTTATTTTGCAAGCAATTTAAGATAGGAAAAGGCTGCTCTATGTGGCATTTTCCACATGAACTAAATTCCTCGTGAAATCTGGGAATTAGTTAACATTTTGTGATTTGGGACTGACTTTTTTTTTCTGTCACTGATTCCCATGAAAGATGTCACAGAACATAGCCAGGAGCTGATTGTTCCACTTTTTCTTGATGAGAAGTTTCCTGGAAATTATATAGAACCAAACAAACGATAGAAAATGCTGACCTTAACTACAGTGATAGTTGGCTCCTGCTAATTTGGGTAGATCCCCTCACAGGTCCCTAGTTCTGCTGCCAATTCCATTGAATAGCTGAGCATCCTCAATTCCATGGTCTCAATGGGAGCTAACACAGCTCAGCAGCTCTCAGAAAAAGAAAAAAGCGTCTTCCAGGCTCACACCCCTGCTGCAGGGGAATCATACTGCAAAATAGCTATGCTTAAAAAGCGGAGTGGTTTATGGAATATTTCCCCCTCCAAGTCTTTATGATGGAGGAGAGCATATGGCTCTTAGTTGTTTTCCTAAAACTTGAACAATAAAACCCCCTGTTGGTTTAGCTTTTTTTCTTTCTTGTCGGGATATACTTAAGCAGCTGCTATTTTTATATATCATTACAATGGCCATTAAACTAAATATCTTTTGTGAAGCAAACCACCTACTGTAACCTGCATCTCCTTTTATAAGTATTGAGGTACAAAAAAATCAAATATACCTTGCTGGTTGGTGTCACGTTGCTGGATCTTGAGGGGAGCAGCCAGATCACTGATGCACCCATAGGTGGGGGTGTTGGCCCCAAAAATGGTATAGGAGGGGGCCATGTGAGGTATTGAATAGAAGCTTATTATCTGATAATCCTATGTATGCTGTTCTGGTGTTTGTATAATGTCTGTGTGTGCAATTATTAGCATGTACTTGTATGGACACTGAAGATTTCCCTGCATGTGGTTAAGCATTGGGCAGGGCCGAGCCTGTGGACATGCTAATTACCGAGGCCCTGTGGAACAATGGTTCTCAATGGGCTATGGACACACCTAAAGAATGGGGGCTGTCACCTGAGAGCAGCCAGCAGGAAACACAGGGATTGGCCTCTATCCAGGTGACCTGCTACATACTAGAAGAGGCCAGGAAGGAGGTATAAAGAGGCCATGCGGTTGATGCCATTTTGTTCTCAGCTCAGCACTTCATCCCAGAGGCAGCATTGCAGGGGTCGAAGAGCCCGGAAGACCTGTGAACCCATCCTGATGATAGGATGTGCACCAAGAACTTTTAAACCAGCAGCTGTAACATCTCTGCTAGAGCCTGCATCGAGTACTGGGAGATTCGGTGCATGTAACGTATTAATCTTTAACAACCTTACTCTCATGCTTTTCTTTATTGTAATAATAAACCTTTAAAGAATTCTAAAGAATTGGCCCAGCGTGATTTGTGGGTAAGATCCAGAGGGTACATTGACCAAGGATCTGTGGCTGGTTTCTTGGAACTGGACAGAACTTGTTCGGGGTAGGTGGGATTGGGTGCTAGGACCCCCCCACCTGTGTACAGGCCCGGAGCCATCTGAGGCATGGATATTGCTGGGGTTTCGGAGGGGTTTTGCTCGGGAGGCTTCAGGCAGGTTGCTGAAGCACTCTGTGGGACTGGTTTGTGGCCTGTTTGGAGAGGTCACCAGTCTGGGGGCTGTAAGGAGCCCCGAAGTTGAGCAATTCGCCCTGAGCGGACGCCCTCAGCTGTGCCCAGACAGGGCCCGGTCCGTCACAGTTGGACTCCCATATGCTAAGGGAAATGGAAAACATTTATGTACTCTTATCCAAAATCCTCACTTAAATGATTCATTAACCAAATCTAGGCAGTCATTTAGTGTCGCATCTCTTCAATAAATCACCAGAACATTATGATGTTTGTCTGTCTTTGTTACCAAATCACTTCTTCCCCATTATTTTCTAAATGGTCTTTACATTGTTCCCAGGTTTCTACTAATTCAATACAGCCATAAGTGGTTTGCTTTTGTTTTTTGGTGACTATTCCTTCAGTTGGTCTCTTCCAAAATGTTAACAGCGAATTACAGTTATAATTCAGTATTCATCATACATTTAGATAACAGTACAGTACTATACATAATATAGTCTGTAAATACCTTTGACTTTTTATTTAAACTTATATTGGTACAGGCAGTCCCCGACTTACGTGGATCTGACTTACGTCGGATCCCTAGATACGAACGGGGGTGAGGCAACTGCCGCACATGCGCAGCAGCATCCCCGGGGCTCGCTCACGTGGATCCTGGGATCCATCTCCTCCTCCTGCCGGCTCTGACTGGTCTCCGCCTGCAGCAGCAGCTGGCCTAGGGAATGGGGTCCCGCAGAGCTGCTGGGCGGAGGAAACGTGCCTCCCCAAGTCCGCTGCCAGCCGCGGTCTCGCAGCCTGCTCCCCGGTCGCCGGCCAGCCTCAGCCCGTCTTCCCCCTCCACCCCCCTTCTTCCCCCTCCACCGCTCTATACATGCCGGGGCTCGCTCACACGTGGAGCCTAGGTGCAGCAGCAGCAACTGGCCGTAGGGAATGGGGTCCTGCAAAGCGGAGGAAACGCGCCTCCCCAAGTCCGCTGCCAGCCGCGGTCTCGCAGCCTGCCCCCCGGTCGCTGGCCAGCCTCAGCCCCTCTTCCCCATCCACCCCCCTTCTTCCCTCTCCACCCCCCCTCTATACATCCCAGAGGCTCACTCACCTGGATCCTAGGATCCACCTCCTCCTCCTCGGGCTGGCTCCTCCGGCTCTGGCTTCTGCCTGCAGCAGTAACTGGCCACTGGGAAAGGTGTCCCGCAGAGCTGCCAGCGGAGGAAAAGTGCCTCCCCATGCCTGCTGCGGCCTCGCAGCCTGCATGCCCTCCTTCCCCCAGCAACAAGGTGCCCTCCTCCCCCAACTAACAAGCTGCCTCCCTCCCCCCAGCAACCTGGCTGCCCCCGGCAACAGGCTGCCAAATCAGCGGACAAAAGCAGCCTCTCCGCCCCCTATTATTCCCACCTTTCCCCTCCTCCCCCTATACATGCTGGGCTCCCTGGGCAAACAAAGACTCCACCAAAACAAACTGGCCTCTGCCTGCAGCAGCTGGCCACAGGGACAGGGATCCTGCAGAGCTGCCGGGCAGAGGAAAAGTGCCTCCCCACGCCCGCTGCCCCCCTGCCAGCAACAGGCTGCCCCCTCCCCTGAGCAACAGGCTGCAGAACAGCAGACAAAAGCAGCCTCTCCGCCCCTCCTCCCCCTATACATGCTGGGCTCCCTGGGCAAACAAAGACTCCACCAAAACAAACAAAGTGCTGGCCTCATTGTGTTAGCAAAAAAAGGACCCTCCTCCTAGAACCCTGGGTGGTGTGTGGAAATAAAGCTATTAGCTCAAAGCATGGTGCAGAGCTGTTTGGTATTTGATGAGTTACTCTTTTAGTCCTGAGTTTGTCACAGGGACAGAAATAGATGTGAAATCTTCTGAACAGGGGAACAGACAGCAAAACAAACATTAGAGGGGAGTTAACCTTTCCCTATGCTATCCAAAACTAAAAAAAATGTTTGGCTAGAGTTTCCCCTACAATATGTACCAGTTCCGACTTACATACAAATTCAACTTAAGAACAAACCTACAGTCCCTATCTTGTACGTAACCCGGGGACTGCCTGTAATTAGCACTAAAATAGATTTATCTCATTTAGTATTTTAAGATCAGTAGATTTAGCAACTAATTTAAGTGGCCTAATAGTCAGAATTGCCAAGTCATGGCTATGCACCAAATCCTTGGGTGACTGAAATTAGAAAACAGAACAGATGATTTCCAGTCCTATATAGTACATGAAATAAGTTTTAAAACAGCAAGATATACATGAAGCCAGTAATGGGGTTCACTACTTGTTTTGTGCTTGTTTTTGCCTAAAAATATTGCTCTGTTTGAATATGGTTGTGAAGAACACATTTATCTGGAAAGTTTGACCATGGTTACCTGACATAATGAATGTATTATTTATTGTTTGCATTACCATATCAGCTATGAGCTCTAATCATGGACCAGGACCATAGACACTCAATGAATATAGAACAAAAAGAGGCAAAGTAGGTGGTAAGAAAAGCTGAATACTGACACATAGATAAGGGAATACAAGGAAACCAATAATGAGAAAATAGTAGTTAGCAAGCAAGAGGGGAAATGGTCTTGACACATGATCAGTCTGCCATGATGTCTACAAAACATTTGACAACTGTTAAAGGAGAGTTTTAGGTGAATATTGGAGGATGAAGCAACTTTGTGGATGTTTGCAGGGAGCAAATCCCAAGCATGAGGTGCAGCATGAGGATAAAGTATTTTGAAAATGAAACAAGTGGGTGATAGAAACTGGCATCATGATACAATTGGAGGCAGGTGCTGAGATTTGGATACAAATGAGAAAGGATGGTCAGGCTGGAGATATGTTATAAGGGCATTGAACATGAAGACTAATGGACACAGTAGAGAGATTCCGTTAGAAAGATGACCTGGTATAAGCAATAGGCAACAGTAATGTTCTTTTCAGCATTTTGAAAGGATATAAGCGGGGATTAGATTTGTCCAGCCACAGAAAAGGATGTTACGTAACCAAGACATGAGATGACAAAAGTTTTATCAGTGGCTAGATAGAAAAGGCAGCCAGCATACGTGATTTTAACTAGAAGGAATCTGCAAGAGTAAGACACTGTGTGGATGTGTGGACCTAGAAAAACTTGACGATGACATCCTGATTACAGACCACTGTGATAGGTAGGATGGTGAAGTTGTCCACATTGATTGAGAAAGAAAGACTTTGGGGAGATGTAGTAAAAATGTGATTGGTATTGCAAATGTGGGATTTAGTTCAGCTGAAGTAGGGTTGTTTAGCCAGGTAGAACTAAAGGGAAAGGGAACAAATTTTGCCTAGTCACAAAATTTCTGCTATAGATAATCCACAGCATGAGATGAATAGTAGAAATATCAGAAGTTGGGCTTGGTTCTGGCAGGGTGAAGGAAAGTGAAGGATTGATGATACAAAGGCAGAGCTGCTCAATGCCAACTTTGTTACAGTATTTTCACAAAAAATGTTTCCGGTTGATTAGCCATGTTATCATAAATAACAAAAGGGTCAGGGATGTACATCAGAGATCTTCTGACCTATCTGAATGAATTCAAATTAGAGGGTTCAAATGCTGTTCACTTGATGGTACGGAAGGAATTAGCTGAGGAAATCTCAGAGCCACTGATATTACAAACTCATGGGGTTACAGGAGAAGTTCCAGAACACTAGAAAAGGGCTAACATAATGTCTATCCTTAAAAAGGGGAAAAGGAGAAACTCTATATAGTAGTCAGCCTGATTTTGATACCTGAGGAACTACTAGAGCAAGCTATACAACATGCAATTGGAGAATATCTGGAGGATGAAGGGGTAATCACAAGCAGCCAGCAGGTATTTACCAAGAGCACATCATGGCAAACCAGCTTAATTTCTTTCTTTGACAAGATAACTGGATGGATGGGGGAATGCAGAGTATATAATATATCTGTACTTCAACAAGGCTTTTAACACAGTCCCACATGACATTCTGATAATTTGGCTGGAAAAATGCAAGCTTGACAAAAATACCATTAGGTATATTCAAGATTAGTTAAACAACTACAAACAAAGGTTATCTATTACCGGTAATGGCACTTGAAGCTCAAGAGGATGGTCAGTAAAAGAATCATGGAGGAGAGAGACAGATGCAGGGCTGTTTAAAACAGGAAAGAGAGTGGGAAGGGAGAAAGTTTGGACAGAACAGGCGAGGTAGAAGAAAAGCTCAACTCCCCCAATCCCCTATGGTTAGATGCAACCAGATCCACATCATTTATTATAATTATTATTATTAAGTATTAATTGCAGTAACACATTGGAACATCAGTCATCAACCAGTGCTAAGTGCTGTATAAATACAGAACTAAATGACAGTTTCTACCCCAAAGCATGAGCAATGTTTCTTGAAACCAGCCAGAGTTCTGTAGTTCAGCCTAATTTGGCAGTTGTGATGTGCAAGTAGGTATTCCCTTCCTTTGATGTCTATGGGAATGATACAAATTTCAGGTAGTAGCAGAGATATTTAAGGGGCTGCATATCCCAAACAGCACAGCTGAGTGATAGTTCTGAAGTAGAACTATCAGACAAACTAAAGGACACCAGAAAAGAAATGGGAAGGCAAAACACAGTCATCTCTCCATGGGTGTGTCTAGACTACAGGGTTTTGTTGACAAAAGTGGACTTTTGTTGACAAAACTATACCTGTGTCTACTCTGCCGCTAAGTTCTGTCAATATAATGTTGACAGAACGCAGAAGTTTTGTCAACGGTGGTAAACCTCATTCGACGAGGAATAACGCCTTTTGTTGACAGGGTTCTGTCGACAGAAGGTGTTGTTGCATCTACACTGTCCTTTTCATTTATACTCTCATGTCGACAAAGCGGCTTGCTTTGTCGACAGAACTGGATGTAGTCTAGATGCTCTTTGTCAACAGAAGCTTTGTGGACAGTATCTGTCGACAAAACTTCTGTCAACAAAAGCCTGTAGTCTAGACGTACCCCATGTATCCTGACACCACCAACACTCTGTCTTCCCATGCTTTCACAATAGTTCTTAATTAGTCATTACAGCCATATTCTGCCAGAATCGACTACATGATCTCTCTGTGAGCTAGAGAAGAGCACGGTTCAGGTGGTAAGATCATGGGTATAAGCATTCTATCCCCTTTGTTATCTACCCATAAATTGTTCACAGATTGCCATGGTGCACTTTACACCCTTTCTGCATTTCCGAGGAGTGATGAGAAATGTTCCCTCATAAATAGCTAAAGAGGGTTTTTTTACCACGACTCTTGTGGAAATCTGGATCAAGATTTGTCTATTTACATGGATCTTAAATAGAGGTTATATGTGGAGAACACTGCCTTAACACGCTTCAATTATGTGAACGTCAAGTATTGTGGATAACTATTATCACATTCTTTCACAATTTCAGAATGAAAAGCATCAATTCAAGAATATTATATTCAGATCTAATTTTTCTTCTTCCAGTCTTAGTTTGTCATCAGTAGTTTCCAAAAAGGATTTCTTCTTGGAAACTTTAGGCATAGCAAAGCAGCAAAATGGTTATTATTTTACTGGCCATGGTTTTAATCATTTAAATATAGAGTGCATTGTTTGCTAATTTCCTGATGGTAGCCATCAATAAAAATTAGCATTTAGGGCTCTTGGAGTCTGATGCTACTTAGTTTGGGAATCAGTGTAAAGGGAGCTGGGGAATATCTAATATAAATTGATGATGTTTTTACTATGCATCTCATTAAAGTCATAAAGAGACTTGGAATTTATGTCAAGGGTAAATAACACAATGGTGTTTGGACAGCTCATTAAAATCTAAAGGTGAAGGACTCTGTGTAGTAAGCCATTAGGTAACTGTACAAAGTATACTCTTTAATAATGTCTAAGCGGTAAGTAAATAGAATGTAAATGAAGTACACTCTTAACACACTTCTCAAATAAGGGTTTAATATTCTGCAAGTACTGAACATCACATATTATATGCTTCCCTATTTTAAGTGAGTACAAGGAGCAAAAAATGTAGAAAAGATGGAATAAAAGTAAATTTGCTTAGTACAATTGGGGCAACATATGGTCTGATAGAATGACATTTTATTAATTAAAAATTACTACTAATGAATAATAATAATAGTTAATAAATATCATAAGGCCTGGTTTTGTTGTCAATTATACATTAAAATTTAACCTGAATTTAAGGCCAGTAAACTTTTGATTGTGTTTAATCTATTTTGTTAATTAAGGAATATAGTAAATTGGGGTTTCTTTGCTCAGATTATGTAAAATATATTTGTGATGGGGCGGACAGGCCCCGCACTGACAGCGGGTAGCTCAGGCCCAGCTGGCGGAGAAAGCCCCGTCCCTCCGGCCCTGCTGGGCATGTTCCCAGCAGAGCCTGGGTATAAAAGCAGAGGGAGCCCTGCAGCCGGGGAGGCT